GTGTGTCATGAAAGAGTGTCAAACAGTCATTCATAGCTTCCTTTACAATAGAAGTAAAATTCATAACTTTTTATAAGTCATCAAATCAAGGAATATGACTGCCGAAATTTTATCTTTGGGCTACATATTGTTGATGGTATTGAGAATCCATTAAAAATTAATTATGATAATTGAGATGCTGAGCCATATTCAAAGAACAACAAAATTTTATCAAAGTCAAAACATATTGACATAAATTTCTTTTTTGTAAAAGAAAGAATTTAAAGTTTTCAAATGTGAATTAAACATATAAGTACAAATTTTATGATTGTGGACCACCTAAAGTGTTTGATGAGCCTGTGGCTCATATGGATGTGGTTTATCTTGATGATATGTAGCATAAATTTATGATGTTCAATTGTTATAAACATATTTTCTGATCAGACTAAAGTTTTATTATCCCATCTTTTGAAAACTTTGACATAAAGTTACATAATTCTATTGCAGTTTAACATAAATACTTGAAATTGACCAGTTAGAAATAGATATGATATATAAGATAACATTGCATGAATTTTTCATGCTACACATTCATACTTGATCTATGTTGTTGATTATATTAAAATTGTGATTACTGATGGGTCTTATTATAGATAAATATAGTGATACAGATCTCTTTGATTTTATGTTAATATTATTGATGGACGGGATTCTCTAAAGATGCTACTTTGAAAAGATAGCAAGTTTTTAGCTCTTAAAGTGTTTGATAATGTATAATTATCAGGCAATATATGTGGCCGAAGTGTGAGATTGTTAGAGAATTTATGTGTTGTCCCATACATATTAAAATTATACATTATGTGCTATCTTAATTTTTTTAAGCCTAAAATTATGATCAAATAAAGATTAATTATTTGGCTTATGTGGCACCATAATATTTATTTGGAATTAATATTGTGTAGAGACTGTGTATTATTTTTATTTTGATGACAGGCTAAAAAATACATACACTCAAGTATAGATAGGGTCATGGTCCCCAATCTACGAGGTCGGTTCTCATCTCATCTTAAGTGAAAATAAGGCCCTCTCTTTTTCAATTTAACACCGTTTTAGACATGAAAGACCGATAACCCGTATTTGTTGTTCAATGGATTTAGGTACGCTTCTGACTAGATTTCTTCGATAATTTAACATGAGATTCGGGTGTTTGATGTATTAAAATTTAGATTGTTATTTCCAACAGAAATTACTTGTTATATTTACTTGTCCTCATGCAAATGTATTCCACAGGTATTTCGGAGGATATGGTCAAGGATGGGTATGTCGACTTAATGAACATTGACATTTCATCAATAGTGATTGAACTGATGAGAAAGAAATGTATGCACATTCCTCAGTTGAAGTGTATCCTTTTATATTGCCCCAAAAGGCTTAATTTCTTCGTCACAAAAACAAGAGTTGAAATGAGTTCCTTGAGTGTCCTTATTATGTACCAATTCTCCTAGATATGCAAATGGATGTAAGGGATATGGGCTTTTTCAATGATGAAACATTTGATTCTGTGATTGACAAAGGTATTTTCTTGGAAAATTTACATATGGAGAACACAATTCTTATGTTTTTACATCTCACACCCAAACTTTTATATTTACATATATTGAACTTTGGTGTATTAAACCTATGCATTAAAAGGTGAATTTCACCTTTAAAATGTGGTAATAGTGCTATTTTTTATGTGATATGAAAGAGTTGAGTTCTGTGTAAATATGAAAGTTTAGGTGTGAGATATGTAAATACGTAAGAATTTTGTGCTATTTTCTTTTCAATGTTCCTGTGCTTTTGGTGTACTTCATCAAAATTGTGAGCTTCTGAATTAAGATGTGAATTGACGAGTTTTTTTCTATTTCTTTACTCTGGTGATGTCTTGATGACTTCTTCTATGAAGGGACTTTGGATTCTTTGATGGTAAACTTCATATTTTTGCTTTTCTTTAATATTGTGTTGCATTTTTTGCATTACAATTTCTCACTCTTTTCGCTTATGCCCCTGCTATTATAGTGTGGCTTTGATGCTCCGTTCAGTGCTTTTCAGATGATAGAAGAAGTTAACAGGTAAGATTTCACCCAACTTTGGATTTATTTTTAGAGAAAAAAGGTGATATTTACATACATACCACACCATTCTTATGTATTTACATATCTGCACCTAAGCTGTCATATTTACAAGCATAACACTTTGTTTTGATAAACCTATACATGAAAAGGTGTGAAAAGGTGTATTCCTAAGTAGGTGATATTGGGATTTTTTATGTGATATTAAAGATTTGATTGTGCATGTAAATATGAAATTTTGAGTGTTAGATATGTAAATGCATAAGAATGGTGTGGTATGTATTTAAATGCCCCTTAAAAAATGATCATCCTCTATTCTTTTTTTTTTTCTTAACTTCTATGCATTTTTTATTTCTAACAATTAGATTGTCTCATATATAGGGTTCTTAAACCCGGTGGGATTTATATGTTGGTATAAATTTCATTCTTTCTGGTTCTTATTAAATTTTCATTCTTCTTTAGATTTTGAAATTTTTTTCACATTCATTGAATTTAGAAATGTTTCATGCATTGCAGATAACTTACGGTGATCCATCTGTGAGAATTCCTCATTTGAATCAACCTGGATGCTGTTGGAAAATTACGTTGTACATAATACGTAAGCATATATAATGTTTTCTATCTTGTTGTATTCACTTTTTGTATTTTTATGTTAGCTTTATCGTAATTCGATCATCAAAAGTTTTGCGTTTGAAAGATGAATCAAATTGACATATGTCACAGTTTCATGTGAATAATTTTGTTGTTGTATCATTTTATGTTTTGCCGAAATGTCAATGTAGTGCTCTTCTGGAGCTATGACTTCTGAAGTTAATATCTTATCAATTTAGAAGTTCTACCCCTACTATCTTGAAACTTTTATGTAGGGGACAGGCCACATTATCAAACTAAGACTAATTAAGAGAAAGTTTAACTATTTGATTGATTCCCTCCCGTGGACGTAGACCAAGGAGTGAGACCACAAATCACAACAAAGAAGATGCAAACACAAGAACACAAGCAAACAAGAGGATTTACGTGGTTCGGTCCCTCGGACTTACATCCCCGGGAGGAAATCAACCAAATCCACTAAGATAATAGAGAAGAATTAAAAGACTTCTACACTATTGAGGAATATGCTCCAGATCTCTCTCTCGACTCACCTCGACCCTAGATCCCCAAGATTCTCCCCTCAATCCTTGAAGCCTCTCCCTTTCTTCTCACCCTTAAGATCTCTTCCCTTTTTCTCCTAAGCCTCACACCCTTGGTTCCTTTCCCCTCAACCCTCCCCTACAAGACACCCCTTCTATTTATAATAGAAGGGGCCTCCCCTAGTAGACCGGGTCTATCTAGCCTAATAATTGAGATTCATTACAACAATTCTCCCCTTGAATCTCAATTTCAAAGCTCCATGGTAAAGATTCATTCCACCCGGTCCCGACGGGCCCTCAGCCCTTGCTTGAGTTTGTTAAGTCCAAACACCCTGAACGAATTCCTGTAGTGCTTTACGTAGTGCTTCACTTCCAAAAATCTGGAGTTGACGTATTCTTCTCTGCAGCACTGCCGAAGCCTTCCTCTAGGATGTCGCAGAACTCCTTTGCGTGAGCGAACTCCTGCTCCGCTGCGTCACGAACAGAACCGCGCGCATTCTTCCTCCAAACGGAACTGCACACGCCTTCTTCCTCAGGGAACCACACGCCTTCTTCCTCGCCGCCTCGCGAAACCTGGCTGCCTCTCTCTCTTCACGCATATCCGCTAACTCTTAGGATAGAAGGCATTGATCGGAAGATCCATCGGAAGATCCTTCTTGATTCATTTAACGCCGTTAAGAGACATCATTACCATGTTCAGGTGAAGCGCTTAGGCTTCTTTCAATGGGGCCAACTTCTGTCGCGTGGTTTCGAAGCAGGTCCTTTCTTCCTCACGACCCCACGCCCAACTCCATGTGCTCCTCTGCTCGCCGCCCAGCTGCTCCTGCCGAAGGCTGCACTCCCTGCCAAAAAAATAAACTGCCGAAAGCTTCTTCTTTTTTTCTGCTCTCCTTCCGTGCCTTCCCTTTTTCCCGACCACGTGCTTCTGGCGAACAAACGGATGTGCTTCCTAGCGCGATCCTGAGAAGGTCCCGCCTCCCTGCTGCTCTGCGACAGCTTCTGGCCTTGGAACCCGTGAGGAGCTGCCACGCTTGTTCCGATTCGACGCCCGCTTCTCTTCGTTCGCGCGAATAGCCACACGGGTCCTGGCTGGAGAGCTTTCTCTCCGAAGATCTGACCTCCCGCACGCTCTTTCTTCTCCGCGGTGACTGCCTCGTGCTGCTGGCCTTCACCATCGTTGATGCCCCCAGCAATCTCCCAGACAGCAGGGACCTTCCTCTGCAAATAGGAAAAAGAGATCCGAACTCCTCCTTCAGTCGCCTGCACGGGCGAACTCCCGCGAAGAACAGCTCCTACGATTCCGAACTCCCTTATGCCGAACACCGAACACCCGACGACGAACTCGCGGTCCCAGGCGAACTGCCGAAGCCTTTGTCGCTGATTCCTTCCCTGTAAAGCCTGTGCCGCTGATTTTTTTTTTCCCGCCTTAGTGCTTCTGTCGCCCTAGTGCTTCTGCCGAACCGAGCCCAATAGCTCCACTTGTACCACCCCAATAGCTCCCTGCAAAAGCCTGTTGTCTGCCGAAACAGTGGAGCCGCAGCTTTCCCACCTATCTGATTCCCTATCCCTCTCCTCTGTGAAGCCCCGCGATCCTTCCTCCTTCCCCGCAGTGAGGTTGTCG